TCATCGGAACAACGGATTAAGAGTAATGGAATTACAAAACGTTCGTGTAAAAGTTATCTAAAAGACTGTTTTCCTTGGCTCGAAATTGTACGTGCATTTCTAATGATTCGTCAGCTCGAATGCCGTTAACATCCGCTTGGCGTGCGCACGCTTGCGAGAAATTAATCATTCTTTCGCACGCGGACGATAAACGTGTCGGGTTTGAAAATAATAATACGGAAACATTTGGTTCATTTCCGATACAATTGGCTCCTGTTGCGAACGTTCAACCATCGAGACTAATTTCAGAATAAATATCGCGTGTTAATAGTTCGGAATGAAGGGTTATTGTTGCAAGTGGCGGCTACAGGGGCGCTTCGGACGTTCGCGTGGCCGGAAAGACCGCTTTTTCCAATTTCGTTTCTTCAATGACGTCTGTCGATCACGTTATTTACGAATGCAAATCTGGACAGCGTACGTATCATCCGTCTTCATCGGTACGCAAAACTATCGCGTTCAATATTGTAATTCTGATATCTCTATTTCTTACCGTCTATGATTTATGCATATAACTACTATGCTATTAAAAAACAGGTAAAAACATTGTTATTGCGATATTATGCAAAATGTTCCATTCGTTAATAGCATCAGCATTGAAATCAGTGCCTTTTTCTTTCGTTATACTTTTCCAATTATCATGATTAATAATGAATAAACAATAAATAGTCTAAATGGGAATAGTAATGCAATCAATTTAATTATCACAAACAAAAAACGAACTGTTTCACATCATGTTCGATGGACGATCGTAAACAAAACCAGTCGCAAAATTAACACTCCATAATGGAGGATCAAAGTTCTCCATTCAATTTTATTCTATTTGTCAAGAGGTGATAAATTTCTGCAGAAGTCGCATGCTGAAAATAACAATTTTTTTTTTAAACAAAATGTTCGATAAAATTGTGATTTTCAGTTACTTGAGTCCTACGGTGTTAGCGTAAGGACATAAAAGACCGCGTGATAAAAGAGTTCCATTCGAAGGAAATACAATTATTCTACTTCGACACGTGTTTTAGCTTCCGCCTTTCTGTCTGTTTATTTTATACCCTTTCGTATTGACAACAGATAGCTTTCTAGGTCAGTGATAACACTATTTATTAAGGATAAGATTCTGATATTTGGTCGATTTCAACCCTGAAGTCATATTTAACAGCTGAGAAATGTTTGAATAAACAGATTCGAGTATTTTCATCTGACACGATTTAATCGCGATCGATCGACATTATACGTACCTTCTTAGATGGCTTCTTCGTTCAGACAAGTTGAATGCCAAATGTAATTCCTCGTCTCTCTATTGATTCCGTTCGAATCCGATTCTTATCGTCCGATATAAGTATATATATCGAAGAACAGCTTGTTTCGGCATCGATCGAACGATAATATCCTTATTTTTCTTCTTGCCATGCCGGAAACGAGCAAGGGAATAGGGTGGTTAAGAAAGGAAGTTAATTACCGCGACATTTCGAAGCTGGTGTTCCCTTCGAACACGGTTCAAGATGGTCTCGAGAGTTTCGTCGATACGATATCTCTGTTAGAAAGAATTTCATTCGACTCGATTCTGCTAAATATTCCCTTTTAAAGGTGAACGACTCCTCGGGAATGTCTCGGCAAGAGAAAACGACGGAATCGGCCAGCGAATTGAAAACTTTCGTTTATCGTTTCAAAAATGACGTCACAATAAAAATTAGATAATTTATTGGCAATGACAACGAATAACATTCATAACACGATTGATAATTATCAGTAATTAGTAAATAGGAATGGTAATTCAAGATTAAAATTCGTACGATTAAAAATATTGTTATTTTAACACCTTTGATGGTTCTAGTATTAAATAATTCATTTTTTTCTTTTACATTACACGAATGAATCAAACGTTATCTCATAAAAAGTTTGCAACTTTATTGAACCAACATCGTTATCAATAAAATTTGCATGCTTATCTAGTGTAAAAGACGTAAATCTACATGACATGTCATTTAATCGCTAATATATCCAGCTTTCTAAAATTGAAAATACTTCCTGTTACAAATATACATATATGAATGAAACTGACCCGGTTGAAAATACCGTTCGATAATGCAAAGGGCAAGATCTTAAAAGTAGTAAATGAGAGCCTCGCCCGAAAGTAAATATCGTTTGAGCAACTCAACGAGATATCGTCACTTTCTCCGTCCTCGACAAAAATCAGCTGCGTAATAGCCTGTATACGTCATCGTCGAATCGAATGATTTCAATCAGCTTTAGTAAAAGCGAGCGTGTGAACAGGGAATTATATAGCGGAAAATTATCGAGTAGCTATTGTAGTTCTGTATTAGGAATATAGGAGAAGTTTCCTCTCATTAATAATTGCAAGTTTCAGTATGCATTACGAGAAATGATTAATATTAAATTAATGTTAAATCGATACGCGTTTACCTGAATCATTAATTAATCAAGAATTAGTAGAAACAAATAAGAGTTTTTCGTAATCGCAGGTGATCGCTTGATCGATGATTCATATATTATACAATAGACGCGGAAAAGTTTGATTAACAAGATAAAGGGTGAAATAAGGACACGCGTATCCCTCGGATAGCCCTACGGTACAGAGGGTTTCGTAGTGAAATGAAAGGGTGCTCGGTCGAATGGAAAGGAGGAAGGGAAAAAAAAAAAATCGATAGCAAAACAACCAAGCTGGTCACGACATGTGCGATTGTAAATTATACACGCATTGTGAGAAACATGCCGCGTGCGTGCGATGAAAATGTACGTACACGTGCTAGAATCAGGAGGGAAATGTATTTTCGATTCTTTTTTCATCTAACTTTGATGTTTTATTTACATCATTTCTTAAGCGATCAGTTTAATTACTTGTCAAAGTATAGATCCTTTAATCCTTTTTTACGCCTGTCCTTTTAAACGCGATGCGGATAATCTGAAAAGAAACTATCACACTTTTTTATTTCTAATTCTATTTGGAAGGTTATTTGAAAATCGGTTCAACAAATAATTGCCCGGTACTTGAGCGAAGAATTTTTTACTTTTTTATTTCCTGTTTATTGCATAGCATGTACTTGGCAAAGGTAAAAAAAGTGTGCATCATTTACATGAATTAATAAATAATCATCTATGCATTTATACAAATGACGCACTTTCTGCTACATGAAATTAAATGATATCAATTTTCCTGGTTTTTACAGTCCATGGATCGTTACGCCAGATTAATTACAAATATTGATGATACACGTGTAAAAAGTATTAACCTTTGAAACTAAGCCTTTTAATGAAAAATTGCAAATACTGTAATTATATCCGTTAATTATAAAGTAATTATGATATTGACTGTCTCGGGGTCACTGGGAATGAATATTTATAGGGAAGCATAGCTAGTATTGGCGAGATGACAGAGAGAAATTTCTAACTACAAAAAATTTCGCCAGTTTACTCAATGAGATACACGTGCGGTCAGACAAATTACGTTTTGTTTCCAAACTAACGAATCGACTTAATTCGTCGATGAATTATAATATATACAGGGAAAGTGGGTATGCGAGAGAATTTCAACTCTTCCGGCGGACTTTTAATACCGTTTAGAAAGTATTTTATTAGCTGCCGCTCTTTTTCGAGGAAACGATGAATCTCCATATATCCTTGATAAATTGCGAAACACCCTGGTCCTTTCGTTAAACTAATGAAAGGAAAAGTTTCTTCTCGAACGCGGTGAATTATCGGGCAGCTACTGTATCCGGTTCGAATCAATAGCTCTAGAATCTCTCGTAGGTAGCATTTTTTCTTTTTCGAAATACCCAGTTAAAATTTAATCCTACTTTTCATCCGAAATGATATTCAACGTATTTATTCCGCTACAAATTCTTGTAATAATTATTCATTTCTGTTCGTAATGCAGTTACGAACGTATATGCAACAAAGACGTCAAAGCTCGCACACATAATTTACATAAGTGAGAAACGAAAAACACGGTTGCGTCACCGATTACTTTTCCCTTCGTAGCCGTGTATTTGTTCTGTCAACACGTCGCTTTTACTTTTCAACCTCGCCAACAGTACTCTGTCTGTCAGACGATTTGTACAACGAAACACAATTGTTTCATTTTTCTTTTTCTAAAGCTTCGCGATTGCAAATCTCTGATAACGTCGCGGGGGCTTTAAACGCGTTCCTCGCTGTCACATCGAACGTCGGTCGATATAGCCGAAAGTACGTTTAATTGATCGAATAGATAAATTGTTATAGCTGGATGATAAAATCGTGCGAATTTCTCTTTCGATGTTGTCTCTACGTCGATTACGGACGCGTTATATAAAGACAGCCACGGTTTTACTGGCATTCCAAAGGAAAAAACGAGTCGCAAAGCTGAGAAACGGTGAAGAATAAAAAGAAGAAAGAAAGAGACAGTGAAAGACATGTAAAAAAGTGAGAGACAGTGATACAGGAACTCGGGTACAAGGTGGTAGCGAGAAAGTTACTAAACACGTGGTTACGTTGTGTCGAGATCGATTACACCAGATAGTTAACGTAACCGTCAGTCAGATCGAAAACTACATACTTCTATCACGTAAACGGGCAACTATAAATTTTCATTGCTTGTTTTTCTTTTCCCCTTCCTTCCGACAATTTTGCTTATGTCGGTCAATACGAGTCAGAACGAGAATGTTAATTCTCCTCGGTGTCACTGGTTATCTGATGCCTCTGCAGATTTTCAAACAAAACAATTAGCAGTCCTTGAAAATATTTCATAATCCGTAAATTCGATGATTCGATCGTTCTTTATCGTATAAATTGCCAGCTGGTCAATGTATCTTCGATTCATTTCGTTTGCGTAATTAATCGGTTCACGATGCTTTATCGTTGCAATTACGTTTCACCGGGACCCAATGAAAGTTTCTTACAAAAGAAAGTTAAGTAACCGCGACTGGTCGCGGTGTTCCATGATTATTTGATCCAGTTAACACTTTGAGTGCCAGCTGTAATCAACAGAAACTCCCCTAAGCAGTGATATTTTGTTTTGTGATCAATTCGTTACTCTGATGACATTTACTTCTCTAAACATTTACACTTGCGAGCAGAAATATTCAAAACATTTTTATTCAAAGGTATTCGAACTTTTTTTTCTAGTGACCCGGCTTATTTACCGATGGAAGGTTTTAAAATTTTTATTTAAATTTAAACTACTGTTTCGTGGCAGGTTACTCGAATGCAACAAAAGCGACCCGAAAACACGGTCAGAAAAATGCGTTTAAAAGGCAAAACGATCGACGCGCACGCTTTTATACTTTCATGAAAACCAGTTTTCGCATAAACGAATGCATTTCACCCTTCTGCTGTTCACTTGCGTATTTGTTCTCGTATTTTGCACACCGAGACGTGAATGGACTCTTCTGGTCGTCTCGAGAACCGATTATCCGGATTCTCCTGCGATTTCTGTCCGTTCGCGACTTTCAGAAACGATCGTTGTATTGTGCAGCGTTCAGAAATGGTCGTACAGAATTTATCGTTCGTTGTAATAAACAGAAGATATCGAATATTTGATCATTTCGCAGCGTTTCGTGAAAAAGAATTTTCATTTAAACAGCACTGGTTTATTTTAGTTATTACATTCCACGAAAGTCTCCGACGGGTTTTTTCGTTTTTTTTTTTTTTTTTGTTTTTATACATTCTACGTAGAAATGGAAATATGTAGATTTTCAGGAAGGTCTTTGAAGAGATTTGAATTTTTATTATGAAATATTACCCTACTCGTCTTAATTAAAAATTTTTATTTAAACACGCTTGCTGATTTTAATTGCTGCATACCACTAAAATTTCACTCACCTTGAGCAATAAAAAGGGTGAACATTCAACTAAATGAGACTTTTTATTTGAAAAACTGTTTGGTGATTGTTACAGACTCGAGGCAAGATGACGAGTATAGTAGCGGATCTGGTGCACGGATACAGGGACCTGATGGATAACAAGTCCGGTAAGATGATTTTCTTTCGAGTCAACGAACATTTTTGCGATGGAGTAATAAATAGGGATAAAAGTTAGTCGATCGAGTCCCAGCAAGGGTCCACGACATTCAAGTGGGTCAGTCAGGTGCGACTGTACTAAAAATCGAAAACGAACAGACGCGACAGAGCGGAAGTAAAACTTTTACTATCGATCTTATTTAGGAAACGGCTAAACTAGACGAGCAGAGAAAATAAATTAACCGCCAAGGTTTTCGAGTTACTTAAAAAAAAAAAGAATTCAATTTCTATTGTTTGTAACCCCCTTACTTGATACAAGTATCACATACGACACGTATCTCTTGTTTATACCTCACGTGAATTGCGTTTCCGTATAATTGATATTAGTATCTCGTATGACCCTGACAAACGATTCCCGAAGAAAAATATCCAACCGCAAAAACCAACTAGTCCAAAGGTTTCTTAGCTGACTAGACTGGACGTGATGCTGTCGTATCTGTCACATATAGATAAAATATAGATAAAATATAAAAATATCGAGGCTCTGGCAAAAAATTTCCTAAACTTATCTAAATATTTCTATCTGCTTGGAAATCATGTTCATGTGTTCTCGATAACCTTGTACATTATCTACTAATTCGCTTGATCTAAAACGGGCGACATTACTTATGGAATGGCCTGATAAATCGACCCAATTACTCGTTCGATTAACACGTGTATGGTACGACAAAGCGTTAAGGTCTTGGTACAAAGTGTTTTGTAGTTGGAAAGCGATGGAATGCGGCAAGAGATCCTTTTGAGGAAGCTTTCGTAATAACCGTTGAACGGGGACACACGAGTGTACAACGTCGATTCAACGAAAAGCACATCGCCACTAGCACGAACAGTGCGCCAAGACGAACCCGTACTCTGTTTGTCGTGCATATTTTTTCAAAATGACCTTCCCCGTCTGTCAATAAAGTGTCGCAACATTACTGTCCGTCTTGTTCCCGATTTCTCTACGATCAACAACGAGATTTTCCTCGCCCGTTGTTCCACTGAACGATGGTCATTCGTGGAATTTCGAGCTGTTGCTCGCAACCAGAAAAATTGACTCCGTCAGCGGTTCCTTAATTCGGTCATGACACATCTTATTTCTCTGTAAAGTTCTTCCGATTCAGAAATTTCCAACCCTGCATAAACTCGTTTTTCAATCGCTATGATTCTAAATTGACGTTTAGGTTCGTCAATCTACTCGAACGCGTTCGTAGTAACCTAGCTACCAAAAGGACTCTAATTTATCTGCCTATTCGTGACCAGGCTGTGGTGTAAACGTTGCAAGACTTAATAGCAGTTAAGGGGCACAAATTGACCAGGCCTCTTTTCATGTTCCCGTGTTATACGGTAGGTAGATTATCGATTTAATAGCAGCAAACCAACAGGCCGTGTTTTCCGCTAATCGTGTATCGCATAGACCAAGAGGCGCCCTCGCCTCATTACACCCTACCTAATGCACCGCTGGAATCTCGTCTTGCATTTATATCCGAGGATGGTTCGGTTAAACATTCTTGCCACACTCGTGCTTACAGAATTGATATCCTATTTAACCCTGTTGCTGCGGCGAGCGTGTAATTTTAAACGAGGTACTCTGTTTTAAATGGTGTACAAATACTTCTTGGACCCACTGTATAGAATTTACAGTCTGATTTACTACAGTTGATACTGTAGAGTTTCAGTATGTCCTCTGACCTACGGTGATTAGAGATAGCTCACACCCGAATTGCTTAAACCATATTTACTCTCGAGTAAATAACCCTTTGTAGTCGGAGCGTACCACTTAAGAGCTAGCCACCAGTTAAATTAAGCCTCGCCATTTAGAATAATTATGAAATTTCAGAATTCTAACAAAAGGAAAATTTCCTTCCGTTATCCTAACCAACAGTGTAAAATAAGGAATTGAGATTCTGAAAGTTTCCATTATTTTCTTCATTTCAAAATGGACTTTGCCGTAAGATATCAGCTGACCCCGCGTCAATCGAATGTTTAATATTTCCAACGTTCGTGTTTATGAATAAAATGAATCGAAATCATTCAAAGAATGTTCGATTCTGTTTACATAAGGACGACAGGAATCATCGACGTATTCAAACCTGTTTGATCACAATGAATAAACATCGAGACAAAAATTTAATATGACGAGACCAGACGAACGCCTATATGACGATTCGTTATTTCCATACGCTTAATTCATCTGAAAATATAACTTTTTTTTCTCGTTATTTAATCCATTTGGTTATTACTTTCTGCTTTTTATGGATGAAATGCAAATATGAAAGAAATCAAAGAACATATTTTACTAAAATTAACGTGTATCAATCAAGTTAGGCTAATTAGGTTAATAAGGAACATTAATTAGTATGTTTTTTTTCTTCTCGTTACGTCATTTTCGTCTAATATGTAAGTACGTTACACAAGTATTAATTACTTATTGACGAGCAATCAACATCGCGGCAAAAAGTTTGAAGAAAAAAGAAATAAAATATGGAAAACGTGAAATAGTAGACTGTTGAACGTATAATCATTCGTACACGTTCGCTATCAAATAATTGAGATTCGCGTGACACTGATTGGTGAATTTTTCTTCAACTTTTATCAAGAACTTTGTAGAAATCAAGACAGGCAGAAACCACGGGGAAAAAATAAGAATTTTCCCTGAAAAAAAGAGAAAATGGAGCGAAGCTGTGTCCAGCTCTGTTCGCTCGAGCGGACGCCGAGTTGACAATGAGCGTCGTTCGCTCGGACCATGCGAGTGCAAAGGTAATTTACCGGAAGGTTTGGCGAGCGCCTCCTGAACAAACTCTCGCGTCTTCTCATACGAGGGCTGAATTTAAAAAAAAAAAAAAAAAAAAAAGTGCTCGAGAAATTTATCCAAGCTGACGAACACAGCAGACGCGTTTTAGAGCCGACTGAATTCTCCACTTTTGAAAATCGTTCGCTCTTTCGAGCCGTTGGTTCATTCGGGCGATTGTCACAATTCGCCAACCGTGTACACTCGTTTAGCTAAGTGTAAGAGTAGAGATTAGATTTTAGGGAAAGACAGGAAGGAAAAATTTGCCGGTTGAAAAGCGGGAGATTCACTTTCGTAGACTACGCATGAAACGCAATTGACAGGAAATTCGATTCGATCGATGCAATTGACCGGCGCATCCGGCAATTATCGTTCGGTGACGCAATCCATCGGACTGCATCGTTTTTCTTTTTCTTCGGTTTCGTTATTACACCAGTCGATCGTCCATACACTAGAGTCACTTTACGAAATCAATGCCCATCCAGTCGGTTAATAAATTCGTCTGGGCAGCGGCTTCCTGGCCGGAAAGGCAGAGTTCCGGCATCGAGGCAGGTGCACGATGCACCATCGCGGAATTGCATAATGCTCGGGCAACTTGTAAATCACTCGCTGATTGCTCCACTTTTCAACCTCCACACGATAACCCCTTTCACGGATACAAACGCGTTATAATGTGTTGAGAAAGTAACGATCTTGCCGGATAGCAACCGCGATATTATTTAATTGACACCCCGAAATTGAAATACAAATTCGCAGTAGTTATTCCGAATTCAACAACCGGTGCCGTTGATCTCGAGAAGTCGAGATACGAAGAATTTTACGTTTTGCCTTTCCGTATTAACGAGCAATAAAACATAATTCAACGACAGTTTGAAAAACTTCTCGTTTGCCCGTTTCCTTCTTTCCTCTCGAAATTCAAATCTCGAACGTCGTAAAATCTGATGCGAAACTTTAAACCAACCGTAATTCATTCTCGCGTTTGACAAACGATAGCCACTTTAATTTTGAACATTAAAGTCGCGAGCAAGAACAAGTTAGATTTCGTATATATTTACCATTTTTACTTCGTTTCTTTGATATATTTTCAATTGAAAACTCGAAGTCTGTGGGTATATTGAAATAATTACCCTGTTTTCTTCTCCCCTCTCACATTCGATACGCCACCCTTTCTCGACACGTTGGCCATTGTTCTACATCGTGGCCAATGTTCCTAATGACACCATTGTCGTCGAAATCTGGGTCAAAGAAAGTAAACAGTAAAGAGGGGTGATCGTAAAAGCATAATTGCACATTGTGCCAGAATAGTTAGTAGAAGCAGCTAATTGCCGATTTCTTTTCAACAAAAATTACGAATCTCGTTAACGTGTATCGATTTTAAATCGTTTCATTTGTATTTCAGTCATAAATTGTGTAAGACGATAAATTACTTAATTATCCTGTTAATTAGGAAAGAGAAGAGAAAAGGAATCTAATAACGTGTTTACCAAAAGATTTTCGTCCCTCGATGGAAGAAAAAGAAAAACACATCACATTATCATATTGTGGGATAGAAGATAGATCATCTCTTCTTTACACGCTCTTTATTAAACGTGCAAGGGGAGGATAGATCTTTTTCTGGTTGAACAATAACTCGTTTAACGGGTTAAAGTAAACTACCTGATAACTTTGTTCTTGTTCTAAAAATAATTGCAAAGAGGTTAACGAACCGGGAAGGCTGTACTTTATCGTCGTTTAATGACAGGAAAATTGTCATGACGAAGCTTACTGTACCGTACTGACGATGCACAAAGTTGTAAAAGAAAAGGAAGAAGGGGAAAGTAAATGATGGGAAAAGAAAATTATTGTTTGCTTTCTATTCGTTGCTCGTTAGGAATCCTGACTGGGGCATTTGGTAATTAAACGCAGGGTACTTTTACTTATTCCAGTAATTAGTGGTACCCTCTTGATATAATCAAGCTTCTATTGTCGTACGACTTGAAAATGACCATCATTTTCGTCGAAAGGTAGCAGTGCTATATTTATGATAAAATTTAGAGACTTTCATTTTCATTCCTACGCTTTGATACAACTTTTGAAAAGAGTGAGAGGATCTGGTCCCTTTAATTTCAGGACTACGATGAATCTAACGATGCTCCATTGAGTTTGAGACTCAACGCTGATTTTTGCTAATAAAAGTGGTAGGATTCTGGTTTGAAATGAAAAGAAAACTTTTTTTTTTTTTCTTGCAAAAACTGCCCTGCCTTTGAATTGAATGGTCGCAAAATAAATACTAATGCATTGTATTTTCATTCTAGATCCCCGGGTGAACAGTTATATCCTGATGAGCAGCCCGTTTCCGACCATGGCGATATGCCTATTTTATGCTTATTTCAGCAAGGTTTTGGGACCGAGGCTAATGGAAAATAAAAAGCCTTTCAAACTTCGGGGTATCTTAATAGGGTACAACCTGATACAAACAATATTCTCCACGTGGATCTTCTACGAGGTTCGTATAGTCGTTATCTTTTTTAATCTTATTTTTCGTTGAATGATCCTATTTCGCCGATAACGATGATGATTGATGAACGAAATATAAATGACAATGGAGCTTAAATATAACTTCGACTACCATTGTTCGAGGATTAAATAGCTTTCTCTGATACGTTTTGAACAAAAGGAGCGGGTTATTTGGTAAAAAATAAAACTAGGTCTTCACGCGACGTTCCCAATTTGTCGCGATGTCAGGCGAGGGTCAAGAATGCGTGCGCGCGTATTCGATCAAATACCAATCGTATTTGGTCTGCATTTAGTATGTTGCAGGTACCACCAGGTACAGTTATTTCGTGAGAACTGTACTCACGTAGTAGCACGTCTCGTAACTTTCTACGCGTTTTCCGTCGATCCAATTATGATATCTTGCTCGTCGATCAGTTCATTGTTCTTACAATTAAAAATCTGCAATTCTCATTTTCCATTTGAAAAGGGAAAAAGTAAAATTTCGATTTATCTAGGTTTATTCAATATACGCAGTTTGATTGAAATTGAATTTTGCTTGAAAAGAAATTGATTGTAACTCGATGACTTTGTTATCTGAATCTATCGATGAGCAAATCGTTGAACATTTTATCGTTTAATCGTTTAATCGCGCGCAAGGTCCCCCTGATAATAGAGATTGGTAAATCGTCCCCTCGCCTAGTCGTTGGGCGATAAAGAATCCTCGGACTTATTCATGAATCCGGCCAGACGGTTCCTGGCGACGTATCCGACATTCCGTTTTCTGTTCACCGTGTAAACGAGTCTAATAGAATTCAAATGAATTTTGCAAACACAGCACGACATTGTTCGATGGTAACTTGGTCATCGCGATCGATACGTTTCTCGTTTCCCTAAAAATGTACTTTCGATACAGAACCACTATCTAACGTGTATACGCAAATTTAAGCGAAATTATTTCCTATTGGAAATTTATAATTTCCTTCGTTTTCATTAGAATTTCGAGCAATAGATGGTTCACAGCATTGTTATTTAAAAATAACTCTTTCAATTTCCTCGTTTTAATTGCGAAGCTTCGCGGTGCTTTAGCTGGAAATTCGGTTCGGAAACGGCGAATACGAGAGAGCACGTTAATCATACGAGTGGTGATGCGCTTATCAACAAAACTCGCCAACGACCGTGTGCATTCAACTCTTTATTTATTTCTCGATCAATGACTCCGAAATGGTAGAATATTCGCCAGCGTAATGACTCACCAATAACATTGATTCTCATAATCTCGTCACGTGGACGTTTTAATCGTACTCGCGCGTTGCGGTTTGTCAATTAACGGCGTAAATTCACGTCTCAAATTGATAGACTTGCATTAAACGATAAGAGAGGAGATTGAGCGTTATAGTTTACTTATCGATATATTCGAACGAGTGAATTCATTGCTCGTTAAAGTCTTCAGATATTTTTAGAGCTACGGTTTATATCTCTGTTATCGGTGACACGATTAATTCGATGTAATTAACATTGAAACTGAACGTCTAGTGTATTTCGAATGGAATTTCATGCGGCAAACGCTGGGTCGACGTCGTTAGTTCTTCTGGTAAGAGTACGTAAGAACGACGATCGATTTTCATAGAAATTCTTCGAGATTGGCGTCTTTTGCGAAGCCGAATAAGCAGTTTTAGGATGCTGGTCGAGACCACGTTCGACGAATATCGGAAGAATTTTTTTCGTCGCCAACCGGAAGAAGTTATTAGTAACCCATGGAGGTCTGGCTCAGCCGTTCGATTATTTGATCGCATAATTATGAATAGGAAAGAGGAAATTCATTTTTTATTCAAATTACTCTCATCGATGCGAATAATATTAGAAGCGTTCCTTCTTTTTATTCTGCATAGCTAGTTAGAAAATTCTCGTTGAACTGTCGATAACTCTTAGCTACTGATAGGCTGTAAGTCTGAAGCACCGAGGGGTAGAGCCATCAGCTTCATTACTTCCGGCTTTCAGACGAAAGGCACAATGGATTAGCGGGAAAAACGGGGCTGAAAGTGGAGCAGCGTGGCTGGCGAAATTCTAATTAAGCGTTGATAAGCCGTTCGAAAATTGCTCTTGCTCACGTTATATACGTATAGATGACATGTAACGCGAGATATCTCACATGTCGACCTTGACACACAACTCTCTAGGCTATACGTGCGTGGTGTTCTCGTTAGTTGGCCAACCCACGCAATCACACTCGAGCTTTTCCAACTGCTGCTGCTTTAACACGGTCAAGTTTAAACGGAATATCGTCGTGTTCCCGGCTTCGATGATACCAATCGAATGTCGTGCGTCACGCGATAACAGGATAACGCGAGATTTCGCCGAAATGTTTAAGAATTCCTTTTTTTTTTTTTTCATGGAGAAAGATTTTTCTTACAACCTCTTCTTTCGCATTACGAGCACTGTCAAAATCGGCGTTTCATTATTCATTTCATTAGTTTCATTTTATAAGAGTTGTGCGACACGGGTAACCGCGTTGCTCGCTCATAGATGCATGGAATTTTTCAATAGATATTAGCGACAGCCGTATGCGCCTCTTAAGTTATTTAACGCGTAAACTACCCAGAGATTCGCCTCTGTCTGGCGCTAAGGATTTAATTAGTTTACTTATGAAGTCATAGACTATTTTTCGAGTCCTTCGCGGATACTCGCAACACTCAAATGTAATCCGTCATTTAGCCAATTATACCGGCGACCTCGCGTTTCGTTTCCGCGACACGTTCTTAACGCACAATTCTTAATCTTGACCATTTCGAAATTTCTAAGCTCACGGTTATCGATAGTCCACGTTACGTCACCGGGAAATAATCGACAGTAAATATCTTTATAGACTTTAAACTCGACAAGCTCTGATTAGAATTCTCCTATTCATTCCGTAAAGGAATTAAAGGCAGCAAAAATTCTTATCATAAATTCCATCTAATCATTTAACGCACACACGTGCGCGCAATAAGAGCACAATTGTAGCACAGTTTAGCGGTGAATCGATCTGGACCACTGCTTAGGGTCAGGCTAACCAACCGAATGACCTGGTTCGTTTTTCTTTTTTCTTTTTTTCCGAAAAATTAGAAAAAAACAAAACCGAAACAGACACACGTATACACGAATGACAGTCGAAACAAACACAGTGGGATTGTTCTGTAAATCTCGGAAGGAGCGAAAGGAGGGGGCGAGGAAGAGGGTGGTTGGCTTTTAGAATTTTAAATAGACCCGAAGTCATCTTGCGAGAGAAACGTTAACAGTAGCGGAGGATTCTTTTGTTTCCCTGCTCCTCTTACCCTCCGTTCGTCCAGCATCGCCAACCGGCTTCTTGATCGAACAAAGCGACCGGCTACAGAGAGTTTCTCCGTGAAAAACGAGCGATCGCGCTTCTATACGCTGATTGTCGTTCTACCCCCGTTTGAATGCAACCCTTTTATTGTCCTCACTTTCCGGCATTTTCTTGTTTCAGTACTTGATGAGTGGCTGGGCGAAAGGATACAGCTTCCGGTGCCAACCGGTTGACTATTCGCACAGCCCAATGGCGCTACGAATGGTGAACACGTGTTGGTGGTATTTCATCAGCAAATTCACCGAGTTCTTCGATACCGTAAGTCTATCTTTTCAATCTTTTATTATACTTTCTCCTGAGCCTCGATCTCGTTCAGCGGAAGGCGTAGAATCGTTTAATCAGTTGTCACTTTTCTTTCAGCTATTTTTCATTTTGAGGAAGAAGACTCAACACGTGTCGACGCTTCACGTGATCCACCATGGTATAATGCCTTTCTCCGTTTGGTTAGGGCTCAAGTTCGCGCCAGGTGGCCACAGCACTTTCTTCGCCCTTTTGAACACTTTTGTTCACATAATAATGTACTTCTACTACATGGTGGCTGCGATGGGCCCTGAGTATCAAAAGTACATCTGGTGGAAGAAGTACCTGACTACCTTGCAAATGGTAAATCGATGAAAGAACAATCTGTTTTACTTGGCACACGACGGCTACCAGCAGCCAGTTGAAAAGTACACGTATACGTACTATGACAAAACGGTTGAGTAATGTCGATGCGTTTCTCGTTTCAGGTGCAATTCGTGTTGATCATGAGTCACCAGTTCCAGCTGTTCTTCACAGAGTGCGATTATCCTCGTAGCTTTATGATATGGATCGGTCTGCACGGCGTGCTATTCCTAGGATTATTCTCAGACTTTTACAAAGCAAAATACGTAGACAAATCGAAATTGTCGGCGAAACAAAGTTCACAGAATGGCTCGTCGACGACCGGCATGTGTATGCCGGTACTCGAGGACGAATCGACGCCACGGCAAAATGGCGTCTCGTCGTACGCGACCATCTACAACAAAGAATACAACAGTTGTTACAGCAACGGCACGAACAACGGTTACGTTGCCAATAACAACACAGAGAAGAAGCTCGCTTAGGACGTTCTTCTGGTGTTTCGTAATTTCGAGAACAACAATTATCGGGACAGAGCAAAAACACCTAAACATGTACACACACACACACACATACACACAAAATATTGTTTAATTGTACCGTTCAATCTCGCGTCCTCGACGTTTCTTCGAGGATCCTGCAACGGTTCCACGTTGATCGCAGTGGCTGTTTATTTCTTTTTTTTTTCTCTCTCTCTCTCTTTCCCTCTCTATTTCGTATCTTCGCCACGAGGAGCATGGTATACGCGCGAGAATAAACGATGCTAGTTAAGAATAATTGCGGATTCTGTGTTCATAATAAAACGCGTACAGTCGTCGGCGAGTGATCAGCTGAACGCTTTAAATCATTTCACGTTAACACTGTCAACGGGCTGACGATTACTTTTCTCTCTTCCTTACGTGGTGGATGGATCGGCAATGTTACGAGGGAAGGACCTGTTTAACCCTTTCGTTATGACGCTATAGTGGCTGTGCATTCACGCTTATCCTTTTCTGTACCATTGTAGCGAGTGAGACTGTTGGTACACACCTAATCACCGCCACTATAATGGTTTTCTAGTCGTGATTCGTTTTTAGAAAGAGAAAAGAGGAAGAGGAACCTCCGCAATCTATCCAATATTTTCACAAACTTGTTTGATTTGAAGAACGTTGAAACTTGTAAACTGACTACACGTTTTCTATCTTCGTAGCAAAAGGGTTAAGAGAATAAAGGTCACTTCTACGTTGTTGTGTATACATATATTAATCTAGCAATCGCATTCGCAACGGGATTGCGAATGAACAACCGTGAACTATCGTCGGCTCGTGGATAGCTTTATTAAGCAAACGAGAAGAACGACGAAGGTATGCAAATGGCGTATAAAGCGCACACGGTTCATTGAATAATAATCGAAGTAATTATATAGAACAGGGTCCAACACTTCAGTAATTTCAGTAACCTTGATACATGTTATGAAGACGAGTGTCCTTAGTAATTTTATTGTATTACATATAGTTATCGCTTGTTTTTAGTTTTCCATGATCCAATTTTTGTTTTCAGCTTATGAACATTTTTATGCGACAGTAGTTTGAATAATCAAATTCACATTAATTATTTATATGCTGCGCGCTATTTAAAATATGTTTGCGTATATTTCTAAAGTTGAACGATGATTATATGTACCCATGAAATTGCTCGGAAAATTAATCTTAATAATATATATCAAGATGATTGAAATCGGTGAAGTGAACCCTATCTTATACAGGGTGCCCCATACAATTGGGACAAGCTGTATCTTTAAAACGGATCGTTGTAAAGATCTAGTTTGACCCAGTTGCGCGAGACACCTTGTATAATTATTAATAATCGATCCTCGTCGAAAAGGTTCTGTTTCCCGCACGCGATTCCTAGTCGTGTATTTTTTCGTTTTTCTCTCTCTCTCTCTCTTTCTCAATCTTTTTTTAATTTGTCAGTCGCGTGCGTTGCGTGTGGATGAGAAAGTGTGTGATCGGTTAGCTAGTTTAGACACGATTGCGAGGCATTTCTCTGATTGGGACCCCCCTTTACCTTTCAACCGTAATTCCTCCCCTGTCGTCGTCCAACTCTGTCTCCCTAATGCCCCGATTGTGTTCAAAGCTTTGGTGTTCGTTGTAGAAAATAAGCGTGAGTCGATTCGCGTGCAAGGAGATATAATCGTACGGCTCTTTCCTCTCGAAACATATGGTTCTGGCCACCGTGATATACGAGCGTTATTGGTTCAATAAATTGTTGTTAACACAGTGGCTGCTATAGGTGTTACCTGAGAAGAAAAAGCCCTGGGCGCTACCTGAGTTACCGAAGCTGATTAACAAAATGTAAATTTTTACACCCTTGGACACTGATTTAATTTGAAGATTCTTTTTTACATAAATTTAGGAAGTGAAATAACAAAGTGAAATTCTGATCACCAATGACCCCGTATATCAGTCAACGTGTTAAGAAATATTTAGAATTGAAATCGTCGGTGGTGAGATCGAAATTCCAATGAGTTTCGAAGAGGAAAATAAAAAAAAAAAAAATTTCACGACGAAATTAAACTCTTGTTCGCCGTTTGTTTTGAGCTTGGGCTAGATTAACCCTTGCACAACGGAATCGTGGCCAAACAAGACCAAGCAAAGTAAATATTGTCATTGATAAATGGTTGAGTAATTAAGAACTTTCTACCGTAGCAAACCAACGATATAATTTTTCTTTAAATTCTTATTACATAATTATTGAAATATCGCTCAACTGTCAGACAGTCAGTATACATTGAGTCTTAAATGACCCAGTATCCGCTGTCCAAGGGTTAAAAGAGAAAGAAATGGTGGAATGTATACTCGTATGTTACGAATGGAAAGGAAAGAGAAAACGGTTTACCCTAGGAATCGTATACAAATCTCGTGTTAAGATTACAGACTTTTTGTACTCTTCCTGTTACGGGGAAAGAATTTAAAGGATTTTTATTTATGACCGCACAGAGAAATAAAAGAAAATCTAAGGTAAAAAAAAAAAAGGAAAAAAAGAAAAAAAAAGTGAAGAAGATGAAGATGATGAAATCGAATTCGATCCTGTAAAAATTTGATGTTGTATATTTTTACAAAGGAAATAGATCGGATCGCATAATAAATGAAACGTTGACGTTAAATATGGGTGTCAAAAGACGTGCTTTCCTGTGAAAGTATTCGTATTATTGAAGTTTATTATGCCAAGATTTTAATAACGTATTAGAGAAGTATTTCAGAGCAATTTGTAATAAAAAAGACAAAAAACGATGAAGAAAAAAAAAAAACAAAGATACGCTGAAAGAAAAGAATAACATCGTCAAGACTGTTAATGTAGACGTAATGTTGTACGAACTATAAAAATATTATCTTCGAATTTCGACTAAAAAAAAAAAAAAAAAATCCGTTCTTTTACTATTATTTTAGCTTTTAACGAGTTTGTTATTGTTGTTGTGGTTGTTTCTATTTTTTATCTCGTCTGATCCTTGTCGTTTCAAATTGTACAGGAATTGATCTTCGAACAATTTTTATATCTTCAAAGCTCAAAAGGTGTTATTTCTCAAACTGTTTCAACAGAACATTGAAAAAAACTGATAACAGAAGCGGAAAACTGTTGATTGTACACAAAAAAAAAAAAAAATCACTAACTCGAAAGTATGGAATAAAATGTTTTCGTATGTAACTTCTTTTTCGAGAAAATTCATTTTGAAAATTCAATAATGGTGGATATAGAATAAGTTTAAAGTATACAAATTGTTGAAAGTATCAAGGGGCACTTGCCCCAGAATTGAGGTCAGGTTTGGGTTAGGTTGGGTACCCAAACTAGGCCACACGCTTAGAGACTTCCGCATTTTGTAAAACTTCGACATCGAATCGACAGAATTGCGAAACGATAGGAAAATGTAGTTCTTTTTAACAATAAGGATCCTGAAAACTGCTGCGACGATGTTTTGTTTATTATTGATAAATAAATTTTACATTTATTATTCATCAGTTTTTGCCCTGGGCCCTGTAGACTTTAGAGCCGACTTTGGAAGTGTCGCTGAACTGTAGCCTGTAGTTTAAAAATTGATTTTCTCGAAAAGGAAGGCCCGTACGAACGAAACTTCGTTTCATAAATTTTTTTTTTTTATTTTAAATCGTCATTCCTCGACTTGTACCTCCAGTTACCTGACGCCCTGTATACAGCATGATCACATACTGCCATATATTTTTATTTTGCAAAACATCAGGCGCTGATTGTTTTGTTATCCGCGAATTTGTAAAGATACCTTAGTGAAGAAAGCAAAGCAAAGCAACGAGGCACCTGTTAAATTTTAGTACGGTGCTCGTTGAAGAAAAACAATTCTGTCGATTCGTGAACTCGTGTCTGTCAATGAGGACAATAAATCCACGTGGACGTCGAGGCATGGGGGTTGAATATCCTTGTGGAAGTTGTATGTTTCATTGATGCATTTGTACAAGTGCATGCCTCTCTGAATAGTAGTCATCATCCCCGTCACTTGTCGAACAATCAGTAAAGGGGGCAATACCTATCTCGTTCATACTTGCGTCACTTCATTTCCCTCGTTCCTCGCTAAAACGTCCACATCTGACTATACGAAATGAGTTCAATTCCTCTCCTCTCTCTAGTCGACCGATTTTTCGTTTCTTTTTTTCACACTGCACGCGCACACAAAGACGGGAATCAAAGGAAACAAGCGAGTTCACACGATCGTCATCTAGCTTTATCAGTGGACGGATCTTTTCTTCGTAGACAGAAATGAAAGAGATAACGCGCGCGTGAATGACTTTCTCAAAAGACGAAGTCGATTTGTCTGTTGCTTTCAAAAGAATAGAAAATTATTCAACCACGTGGTAAGGTGTCGAGGCTAGTTCACACGTAGGCGAACGAGACAAGAGCACACATCGTCATGTACCTATAATACTATCTAATGTTACGAACTCTGTAATGATTATCGATTCTCATTATATTTTTGTACATAATTGGGGAGAATTACACGAGAATAAAATGAATTTAAATGGAGCGAGTTGCTTTCAGCCACGAACAGAGGGAAATCGTTGTCCATTTATTTTGATGATCGACGCACCCTTCGGGAACAATTAGTCACACGACTGTTACTACGTCTTCGGAATTTGGTATCTAGGGATGAACAGTGAAACCTGTCTATATCCTTCTCTATACGAATTAGTTTGAAGTCAGTCACACGAAAGTGGTTGCGACCCCGCAGATGGTTCTACTACTTACAAAGTAAGTAGATAGGGATGTGCAGATGATGGTCTTACAACTGTCAATGTGCACTATGCACAGTTAAGGACTAAGGACTTCCGCCAGTCACCGACGGAATAAGATAGTGTCGCTTTTGTTCCTGTATCATCTCGGCTGAATTCCTTCCAACTACCCCTAGTAATAAAGCTGCTATAGACAGGAATTTCAGAGGAGTACTGATTTGCTAAGATACTCAGTTTCCTAAGCTTGGATGCTGGATTCATTCAATCACCATCCCCATATGGCCTTTTCCACCACCTACCAAGTGATTACAACTTGCAAGCATGTAGACAGGTCTTACTGTACTCGCTGAAAGATTACTCGATAGAAATGGTAATGGCGTACTTACATTCGCTATCATATAATGTAGCAACTCGGTATCCGGGATTAGAATCGCAATTATTCCTTCCGTTCTTGCAAATATGTAAATGCTTTACACTGTCAATGTCGTTTAAGGTTAAACGACAAAGACAAGGTTTAGTACTTTGCACTTATGCAATTCCTGTTTACGGTAATGACTTTTAACCCACGGATACCTACGACCAATCGACACAGGGGTTCCATTAGCAATTCGTCCTATATTTTGCCTCTGCTTCGTTTTTTGTTACGACACTTGTTAATCGCAGTATAATTACGATTTTCAGAATATTAAAATTCTGTGAAACACGTGAAACGATTTATCAAAGATTAATCAGTTTTATACTGGGCCAATTGTCTTACCTTCTGTGCTCTATTTACAAGATTTATATACCTGCTGCTATCATCTTGAGCATGTACGATAAATGCTTATATTCTTATCTAGCAAATTTCTTTTATGTAAACTTATATAACTGATGCGTGAAAGTATGAAGTTTCTCAGATAAAAATATATTTACAAGTGAATCGGTTGAATCGTAACTAAAAACGCATGAACATTTTTTTTTCGAAGTTCTCTGATTTAATGTCAGCGAACATAAAATATCGATCGAAGTCGATGAATATACGAAGGTTCGAAAGAAGAGATATCTCTGAAATAAATAGTTTAGGTGATGAAATGTTTGCTCTTCTCACGAAGATAGGGGCGACGAGATTGCTAGGTACGCGTGTGCCGGTGGTTCACGGCGCACCCACGTGACGCACAGTGCACCATGGGACGTCAAGAGAACACGAGGAAGATACGGGACAGTTTCGCGGCATAACGGCAATAATATTGTGTGTCCGTGAATACGTAATTCTAAAGTAGCGCGTAATATACCGAGAACGCGAGATAGTCGTCCGAGTGGGATCGAGCATCTCCGATTGAGCCCCGCCCTGTATATGTATATTTATAACCGGTTCTATCAAAAGTCCGGCCGGTGTGGCACACGGTACTTTCGTGACATAAGTGCGGGCTTCCTATCGACGAACAGACTAACAACACAGGGAAAAGGAAGGACGTGACAAGTCAAACTGGCGCGACAAGTGAAGAAATTATTATCCTGTTCCAGCTCACGACACGGTATGTTAAAATTTTACTGTTGACTCCAATTGTCGAATATACCGGTATGATTTGGATGTGATTCGAGTCTCCGCGAACCGCTGCTGCGCGGCAGCACTATTCAAGGTTTATTTATACACAAACGTATCGTGTAATTTCGTATCCGTTCCTTTCATGCAGCTTGTAAACTTAGTCGGCAAAGACGATGTCTTTTACAAGCAATCGCGAAATAAATTATGTATAATAAATACAATGCGTGCATATATTGCAAGTTTTTGATGTAAGTTTAAAGCAATGAATATGTAGCCCCTTGATTCAGGCTACCTTGTTTACACCCGCGACAGCAGTGCTATAGGGCTAGAGGTTATCCAGGTGCACGTGACCTCCCATGCTAATACAAGTAGGAATTGTTTTCAATTGTAATTAAATCGATCATAGTATTTAAATACAATTAAGCTTTTTATAAATAAAGGGTACAAAGTTTGTAAAGTATGACGGTATAAGGGAGGAAACGTTTGACTTGTTGAACTTTCGGATCATTTCGAGAACATGTTAACTTCACAAGTACAAAATTGATATATTCAATTGTAAATTTGAACGATACAAAGTGCACAAGTCGATAACCCTTCTTTTGCTTAATAATTGATAGCTACCTCTAACTTTAATTGAAATGCCTTTGGGTACCTTTGGATGGTCTTAAAACCGTATTTCAAAACAAAAAGTAAAGGGGTGGTCAGAAGATACTTAATTAACAACATCCTTTCACTTCCTTTTTATGTGCAACATTCAATCAATGTATATGTATACAGAAATTTCTGCTAAATTGGCAACACACTTTGTACCAAATGAAATTTTAATTGACCCCCTTAAATTGCAACAACTTTTGGTTTTTATCGCCATCAACGAAACATGGTTTACGCAATTCTACGGTTGTTTACGTTACGTTTCGTTAATTTTACCGTAACTTTTCTTCTCTGTGATTTAACGCGGCAATAAATGCGATAACGATAATTTACACGACGATCCCGTTGAAACACATGAACGAATTGTTATTTCAATCGTGTCTAGAAATGTCTAGAAATGTAGTCCATGTTTCAAAAGAAAAAGAAAGGGCGACTTTAATTATAAAATGATCCAAGTGAAATCTTAACCAAAATAATAGCTTTAGAAAGAAAGAACAAGGAATTGTTAATATTGAAGCAATGTCGCAATTCGTTGATTTACATTTCAATCGAACGTCTGAATAAATTGAACATTCGAGAGCAGTTAATTACAGGTACGACTAAATAAATTTGCTTCTATCAATTATCCCTTGAGAGAATAATAATTAACACTGTTAACAAAAAAAAAAAAAATTAAAGGAAAATAGTGTTACGTATGAATATATGTTTTCAAGGTATTCCTGGAGAATATTATAAAAAATGTTGTTTAAACTCGTGTAAGATAGACTCAGTGCATTTCTGTGAGTCAATCGTGAACGTGACTCGTGTGTATGTGGTTATAAATGATGATCGTTCATTTGTAGAGGATTTTTTAAACATTCCGAACGCGTTGGCTGCAGACATTTCCCCATAACAAGGCCTTCGAGCCTCGTAATCGATAAATAAATTAACCCTTTTTCGTATGTGTGCAATTATCCTCTTGTTTATTGCTAAGATCAGTATTTTCTCTTCTATCAGTTGGTTGAATATTGCAATATTAACAGTTTTATAGGAAAAAAGAAAATTTCCATATTATTTTATCATTCTTGTGGGGGTTTGTCCACTCATGATGGCAGGGTACTAGATTTTGAGTTAACCCTCTGTAGACATTACAAGACAAAAATTTTTTTCAAATAAATCAATGAGCAATAAGGGTAGATCGCGATATCCTCGATCCAGAACACTGTGGAACATTTTTGAGTGTTCTTTGAACC